AATGGGGAAAAACTGAGAACTTTCCCCCTGATATCAGGAACACAACACAGATGTCCACTCTCACCACTGTTGTTTAACACAGTGTTGAAGACCTAGCCTCAGCAGTCAGACAATAAAATGAAATAAGTCATCCAAATTGGCAAAGAAGAAGTCAAGCTTTCACTTTTCACAGATAACATGATAGTCTACATGGGAAACCTGAAAGACTCCACCAAAAAACTGCTAGAACTGATACATGACACTATTTCAGCAAAGTCGCAAGATAAAAAATCAATTTACAGATATCAGCTGAATTTCTATACACTGAAGATGAAGCAACAGACAGAGATATCAAGGAGTCGATCCCATAAAATACTTAGGAATAAATCTAACCAAACAGGCAAAAGATCTGTATGCTGAAAACTACAGAAAGCTTATGAAAGAAATTGAAGAAGAAACAAAGAAATGGAAAAATATTCCATGCTCATGGATTGGAAGAGCAAATATTGCTAAAATGTCGATAGTACCCAAAAAATCTATACATTCAATGCAACCCCAAACAAAATAGCATCAGTATTCTTCACAGAGCTAGAACAAGCAATCCTAAAATCTGTATGAAACCACAAAAGTCCCCGAATAGCCAAAGTAATGTTGAAAAAGAAAACCAAAGCTGGAGGCATCACAGTCCTGGACTTTAACTTTAACCTCTACTACAAAGCTGTAAACATCAAGACCGTTATGGTATTGGCATGAAAACAGACACAAAGACCAATGGAACAGAATACAGAACCCAGAATTGGACCCACAAACATACAGCCAACTAAACTTCAACAAAACAGGAAAGAGTATCCAATGGAAAAAAAAACAGCCTCTTTAGCAAATGGTGCTGAGAACTGTACAGCAACTTGCACAAGAATGAAACTGGGCCACTTTCTTACACCATACACAAAAATAAACTCAAAATGGATGAAAGACCTAAATGTGAAATAGGAAACCATCAAAATCCTACAGGACAAAACAGGCAACAACCTGTTTATTTGACCTCAGCCACAGCAAATGCTTATTTGACACGTCTTCGAAGGCAAAGGAAATAAAGGCAGAAATGAACTACTGGGACCTCATCAAGATAAAAACCTTCTGCACAGCAAAGGAAACAATCCAAAAAACTAAAAGGCAGCCGACGGAAAGGGAGAAGATATTTTCAAGTGATGTATTGGATAAGGGTTAGTATCGAAAATCTATAAAGAACTTATCAAACTCAACACCTGAAAAACAAATAATCCAGTGAAGAAATGGGCAGAAGACATGAATAAACACTTTTCCAAAGAAGACATCCAAATGGCTAACAGGCACATGAAAAGATGCTCAACACTGCTCATCATTAGGGAAATACAAATCAAAACCACATTGACATACCAGATCACACCGGTCAGAGGGGCTAAAATTAACAACTCAAGAAACAACAGATGTGGCAAGGATGTGGAGAAAGAGGAACCCTCTTGGGCTGTTGGTGGGAATGTAAAATGGTGCACTCATTCTGAAAATAGTGTGGAGGTTCCTCAAAAAGTTAAAAATAGAATTATCCTGCGATCCAGCAATAGTACTTCTAGGACTTTATCCAAAGGATACAGGAATGCTGATTCATAGGGGCACATGTATCCCAATGTTTATAGCAGTGCTATCAACCACAGCCAAATTATAGAAAGAGCCCAAACATCCATCAACTGATGAATGGATAAAGAATGATTTAGTGTGTATATATGAGCATGATGCTACATAAAACTATAAAACACTTTTGCACAGCAAAGTAAACCTATGGGCTAGGAAAAAATATTTGCAACTATATGATAAAATGTCAACATAAAAACTACACAAAGAATTCATTTATCTCAATAGCAAAAATACCTAAAAACTATGACTGAAAAATAGGCGGAGGATCTGGATAGATATTTTTTCTAGAGAGGACATACAAATAGGCAATGGGTACATGAAAAAGTATTCAGCATCACTAATCATCAGTGAAATGAAAATCAAAACCACAATGAAGTTTCACCTCACACCTGTTACAATGGCTATTATCAAAAATACAAGAAATAAGAAATGTGAGAGAAAAGAAAAACCCTGATGCACTGGTGTTAGCAATGTAAATTAATGTGGCTGCTACGGAAAACAGTACAGAGGTTCCTCAAAAATTTAAAAATAGGGGCATCTGTGTGGCTCAGTTGGTTAAGCGTCCAACTTCGGCTGAGGTCATGATCTCATGGTTCACAAGTTCAAGCCCTGTGTTGGGCTCTGTGCTGACAGCTCAGAGCCTGGAGCCTGCTTCAGATTCTGTGTCTCCCTCTCTCTGCCCCTTCCCTGCTCATACTCTTTCTTTCTCTCTCTCAAAAACAAACAATAAAAAAATTTTTTTTTAATTTAAAAATAAAACTACTTTATGATCTAACAATTCCACTTCTGAGTCTTTACCCAAAGGAAACAAAATCACTATCTTGAAAAGATATCTAAGCCACTATGTTCACTGTAGCATTATTTACAATAACCAAGACATGGAAAAAATGTAACTGTGCACTGATGTACAGATAAAGAAAATGCGCTATGTATATATACATACACACACAATGGAATATTATTTGGCCATAAAAAGGAAATTCTATTTGCAACAACATGGATGAAGCTTGATAGCATTATGCTAAGTGATGTAAGTCAGCCAGAGAAAGACACTGTATGACATCACTGACATGTGGAATCTTAAACAAACAAACAAACAAACAAAAAACATCTCAAAGATACAGAGAACACAATGGTGGTTGCCAGAAGTGAGGCATAGTGTGGGAAAAATGGGTGAAGGGAGTCAAAATGTACAAACTTATAGTAATGCTCAATAGTGATAATACTGTAAAGTCGCTAAGGGAGTAAATCTTGAAAGTTCTCATAAAGAGAAAAAAGATTTTCCAACTATGTGTATTGATGATGTAACTAAACTTACTGTAATAATCACTTCCCAGTATATGCATATGTCAAATAACTATCTTACACAACTAAGACTAATAAATGCAATGTTATATGTCAATTATATCTCAAACAGTTTTTTAAATGGGTACACATTTCTAATAAACAATTAGGAATATAAATCTACAGCTGAGGAGTAACAGGACTAGACATGGGAAAAACTGATTACAGCTGGCAGCTAATCTACAGAGCCAACACAAGTTATGGTAATACACAAGCAATGGTTCTCATCCTAAGAGATCAGCACTGAGGTTGGAAATATAAGGTAAGGGTCAGAAACCTGGCATTTCCACTAGCTACCAGTTAACAACTCTTTGGAGTAGTCTGATTAAGATGGTGGGGTCTTTTGTAGAAAGGACAGTATATGCACTGAGGCATTTAAAACAAAATTTTAAAAATTACCTGTGTCCCAAATAATTCTGAAGGCAGTGAATGTGTCTTCAGGCCACAAGTCCACGAGGCCTGGGGAAGTGTAAGAAAAGGTGAAAGAGATCGGAACCATAGAGAACACTAACATTTGAGGTGGCAGCAAAGGAAGAAGGCAGCAGTGAGCGCAGAAAGCGTTCCGTCACTGAGGGAGGCAAAAGTGGCAAGGAGAGAGGTGAGTGCAGGAAATGCTCCTGAAAGTGAGCAGGAAGGGGAATGCAGATGAGCCCACAGGATTAAGCGGTGGGGAGTGGGGTCTCAGGTCACCCCTGAGCAGAGTGGCAGAGGCAGAAGCGACTCAATGAAGTCAAAAAGGAATAAAGGTGAGAAGGGGAGAGAGTTTAGAGGAGGAGGCAAAAAGAAGAACAGAAATAGGACAATGCCATAAAGGGGAGGAAAAGGCCAAAGACTACTTCGGCTTCTAATGTTTGTTTTTGTAAAGTCTGAAGACGCAGGAGTGAAGACTTTGACAAAGTCAAAGTTAAGAAGGCAGGAAAGGATGAAGCGGAAGGAGTCATGGTAACTTATAAAGAAATGGTCCCTTTTGACTTAAGAAAAAACAAAATAAAACAAAACAAGATTACTAATGTTTGGAAGGGAAAAGAGAAGACGTCCATACCTGCTGGCACCTACTTTCCGGGCTCTGGGAGGCATCTGCTAAGTATAAGTTAGGACCTAAAGAAAAGTTATTAGCAGCATGAAAAGCTCATTGGAAGAAATGTATGCAGGAGACAAAACAGGAACAAGAAAAAGATAGCGGGGTACGATGAAAGCTGAACTGAGGTGGAAATTAATGCAGTTCTGCAATTTTTTCCCACCAATGCTTAGTACTGAAACAGCAGGAATAGAGAAAGCAGAAGCCTGGATGGGTCCAGAAGAAAAGTCTGGCACAGAGACTGAAGCAGGTAAAATGCCAGGCAATCCACGAGAAACACAACAGAAAAGTGGCAACAGAAGAGTCTGGAAGGAGGAAACAGTGGCCATCAGGTGGGGCCTAGAGCAGTGGGCAAATATAAGGACGGATTAAAGAGGACCCCAGGGGAGCCATATGAGTGTGAAAGCAGGTTCAGAAAGAAATGAGGTTGAAATCACGAGCAGGACTTTTTAAATCTAAGACTGTCTTGCACAGAATAAGTCTGAGTGATCTGCTTCTGGCCATGTAGGATTAAGTTGGAGAAGTAAAGAAACAGGTTACTCAAATATCCCACAGAACTTTAACCCCGAGGTGTTAGTTGAGTGTAGATCTGGAAGTGGATGCCAAAGACCCTGAAGACGACCTTGAAGGAGATCCTAATTCCTCAACAGATGTGAGAGAGAACCTGGATGTCAGTAAATCTTTATGGCTAAAGATGGGAGAGAATAATGTTTAAGAAACATACATTTCAAGGGATAAAGGCAATCAGACTAAGCACTACCATGGTGGGGAGTAGAGATTAAAATTCTGCCTCTTGGTTCCCCGTAAGTTAAGGCAAGAGAAAATGAGATAACTGGCTGAGAAAATAATTTTAATGGAAGCAGGGATTTCCATCATATAAGAAAACAGTCCCTAGAATCAAGGAGTTTTCTAGACACATCATACATACCAGGTCTGAAATCATGTCCCCAGTGGCTACAGCAGTGAACTTCATCCACAGCAATTCGGGTAAATCTCCTCGCTTCATAGGCTTTCTCTAGTCTTGACATGAACATTTTGCTTTTTGCAATTTTCTCTGGAGTCACATAAATTAGCTTTAGCTTGGAATTTTTATTTACCATTTCAGCATGAACCCATTTCACATGCTCCTGTTGGAAGGAGAAACAGACATAATGACAGAACTGAGCTAGCCAGTGGGGATGCTAAGTGGTAACTTAAGATGCTCATTTCTCAAAGCAACAGCCTTAAACTGTTTTAGCAGAGGTTGAGTTCATTAAAATTGTGACCATGTCCCAGTACTAAACTTCAGGGTAGCTGTAAATAGCATTTTAGTTATTTACTTATAACCAAATATTGATAAAAGAATAATCTCATTTGACAAAAAAGAGAAAAGTAAAAATGAAAACACTCCAATAGGCATTTACTCTATGAAGACATAATTCTAAGTTGTTCATATAAATGCCAAAATATGAGCTAAATGCAATAGGGATGGTTATAAAGTTGGGTTTTATTAATTTTAACATTGTATTTGTGATCTCTTCATGTATCTGAACAAAATCTATTCTTTATTAGCTACTTTAATGATGCTATCAAATCTACGCAATCTCTTTAGGTTTTATAAAGTATCCTATTCATTGAATTATGATTTTATAAAATAAAATATATACTTATATATAATAAAAAATAAATCCTAAAAGCTCACAGTTATTAGGTTCTTAGTGCTCTATTTCATAAAATATTTAGCACATTAGGTGTCATATTTTTCCTTCTAACCTAATTAGGACCAAAAGAAGTGTAAAGAAACAATGGTGAACGTGATGGACAAAGTCCAAACTGCTTTCAGTATCCCAGCAAAACCATTTGCTAATTCCTTAAGATATCCTTAAGTTTTTTTAAGGAATAACTAAAGTACATTAAACATTTCAACTGGTCCTAAATGTCTCAGAAATCTTAGGGGAGCAAACATAAGGCTATTTCCTCAGAGATGGAGGAGTTAAAAAGAAAAAAAAAACACACCAGAATTTCTGGCAAAGTGGAGCAGCAAGGTTAAAAAGATTTGTATTCACATCCTATGAACTGCTAGTGAAAGCAAACAGAAATTTGGAATTGACCTATCCCTTCTCTTTATTTTCTCTCCAACTGTTCAGTCGTGATACAGTTCAAATTATTACTATTTTTCAGTGTTAAAGAAGTACAGTATTAGAAAGCAATGTTCTCCACATTAACCCATTGAATAAGAGAGCAGTTAGGACATGACAGTTTCAATAAAATAGAAATAGATGGGAAAAACCAAGGAACCAGGGCTACCTGGAGATATGGCTGATGCCAGGTCTGAGAGGAAATATGCAAACTGATCATGGAGTAACTTCACAAAAAAGCAAGGAGTCAAAAACTATGGGATGAAGAAAAAAGATTCAGGAGCCAACTTGAAGAGATGCTCACTGCTCAAAGATGGGGCTATTTCAGCACAAAAAACAATAATATGGATTAAGATCTATCAAATACGCTAGATACTCATAAGTTGATAATGATACTTAAAAAAAAAAAGATCTTATTGACTACCTTTGGAGAATGCTAAGAAAACAACTCTCTGACAACTGGGAAAGAATGGGAAACAATTCTCAACCTGCAAAGGTTTATAAGGAAAAAGTTCTTTATAGAAAATGCCTAGCTAATAAAAGAAGGAGTGACAGAAGGAGAAATCACCACTTTGTAAGCCCCTAACTAGAGCCGTTACTTAAAGGCAGGCAATAATCATCAGTGGCTTTAAAGCCAATAGATGAAAAGGGGACAAAGAACTTGATAATAACAGAACAAGCAGTTATCACCTGAACCCACTGACCAAACTTAACATCACACAAAATAACCAGGTTATGATGTACCTCCTACTTATGCCATGGGGAATAAAGTCTTGAAAAAGAAAAGACCAAATACAGTCACGCTTTTAAGTCTAACTAAAAATAACAAGTTAAACAATATCACAAGAAGGTTATCAGAAAAACCAGAATGTAGCAAACTAGAAAAAGACCCTAGTTTCAATAAAAAAATTAAATTTGCATCGGGAAACAAATAAGAAATAAGGGGAATCTACAGAGAGATCAACAAAATACAACATAATGCATGAATTTATTCTGGACCGTGATTTTAAAAAAGAAAAGTAAGATTTGATGAGACAAAGGAATGTGAATTTGTTTGTTTTGTTGTTTGTTTATTCTTGAGAGAGAGAGAGAGAGAGAGAGAGACAGAGAGAGAGACAGAGAGCAAGTGGGGCAGGGGCAGAGAGAAAAGGAGACACAGAATCCGAAGCAAGCTCCAGGCTCTGAGTTGTCAGCACAGAGCCCAACACGGGGTTCGAACCCAAGAACTGTGAGATCATGACCGGAGCCAAAGTCAGATGCCCAACCGAGCCACCCAGGTGCCCCAAAATGTGAATATTTTTTAATGTTTTAATTTTTGAAAGAGAGAGAGAGAGAGAGAGAGAATGAGCAGGGCAAGGGCAGAGAGAGAAAGGGAGACCGAGGATCCAAAGAAGGTCCACACTGTCAGCACAGAGCCCGATGGCAGTCTCGAACCCACAAACCCTGAGATCATAACCTGAGCCGAAGTCAGATACTTAACCAACTGAGTCACACAGACACCCATTTACTTGATGATTTTAATGAATCAATATTAAATTGTTTTAGGTATGATAATGCCATTGCAATTATTTTTTTTCTGATATATATTAAAGGAGTTACAACTAAAATGATATGATATCTGGGAACTGTTTCAAATAAATAAACCAAGGGGAGGAGGCAGAGAAAATTCCAGGCATATAATTGAAAAAGGATTGGTCATATGTTGATAAATGTTAAAGGTGGTTAATGGGTACTTACAGTTTTATTATGATTCTCTCTACTTTTCTGCACTTTAAAAAATTTCAATAACATCCTTTTTAAAAAAGAATAGTTGGGAAATGCTTATTCAACAGATGAAAGTAAGAGAGTCCATTACGAAACCAAAAAGATTCCATAGGGACAGGTTATCTTGTTAGTAGTGCACCATTTATATTTAATAATGTTGTATAATTAGGAATTCTTATTTACTATTTTCTAATAGATAAATAATATAAAATAGCTCAGCTGATGTTTACTGTAAAGTGCCAGATAGTAGATACTATTAGGTTTTGTGGGCCATACAGTATCTATCACAACTATTTTGCCATTATTGTGTGAAAACAACACATAAATGAACAAGCACTGTTGTGTTCCAATAAAACTTTACAGACTTCCTTATAATTTTCACACTTCACAAAGTGTTATTCTTTTAACTTTTTTTTAACCATTTAAAAATATAAAAGCCTGGGTGGTTCAGTTGGTTGGGCATCCAACTCTTGATTTCAGCCCAGGTCATGACCCCAGGGCTGTGGAATCAAGCCCTGTGTCAGGTTCCGTGCTAAGTGTGGAGACTGCCTAAGATTCTCTCTGTCTCCCTGTGCCCCTCCCTTGCTCATGCTCTCTCTCTCTCTCTCAAATAAACCAAATTAAATTAAAATATATAAATATAAATGTAAAAACCATTCTTAGCTCACAGACCATATAAAAATAGGTAGTAGACTAGAACTGGCCCATCAACAGTACTTTGCAACTCTTGATATAGTTATTAGCTTCTAATTTTATAACCAATTCAATTGTAACCAAGGCTCCTACTTTAGTGAAGAGTTTGGATTTTAAAAACAGGGCGTGCCTAGGTGGCTCAGTTGGTTAAGCATCCAACTCTTGGTTTCAGCTCAGGTCATGATCTTTTTCATGGGATTGAGCCCCACTTCAGACTCTGTGCTAAGAGCATGGAGACTGCTTGAGATTATCTCTCCGCCCCTCTCCCAAACAGGCATTCACACTCTCTCTCTCTCAAAATAAATAAACTTAAAAAACAAATGGAAAAAAAAAAAAAAAAAAAAAAAAAAAAAAAAAAAAGAACCACAGAAGCATACCTTAGGACTAGAAGCATTTAACATGGTAGCTGAAATTCCTAATTGTTTTAAAACCATTAACTGGTCTTCCATAAGAGAGATCAATGGGCAAATCACAAGGGTAAAACCTAAAAGAGAAAGTATCTACTTTAAATTTTATACTACCTCCAGAATGACTTTCAACCACTCACCTGAGGACATCACAACATCAATATGCTACCTATTTTTTACCCTCATTAATAGAGGAGATAGATATAAATAAATGATCATTAGTTAAATAAGCAGATATAAGATTAGACAGAAATCTCTTCCCTCCTTCGTTACTATAAAGATAAAAATAGATATGATTGTGAATTTTTACTTTACTATCATTTTTAACAATCAGCACTGGTAACCTTAGCAAAATAACATAAATCAAGTCAAGTAGTAAGCAGTTATATCAGAAAAAAGTTATTCCAAAGTTTCCAAACATAAGTAACCCGTATAATTAAGAATGATAGTTACAAGAGTATTCTTCCACTTACTGTACCAGATTAATATATGCCACATAGAAACCAGTGAACATTTATTGACTGGATGAAATTCTGATAGTGTCCCCTTTCTCTTATTATTGAAATTGTGCACAGCTGTAAGAGCTATTCTACATTATTAAAATCACTGACCTTATGTTTCTATAGTTTGTTCCTTAAAATAAACCAGAGAGCAGACCAATTAAAAAATATACCAAATTCGGACTTTATCAGGGATTCTGACATCTCAAATAGTCTCTCTGCTGTATTTTCACATTCTCCCTCATCAATGATAACTTCACATTACATTTAAACACAGGCAAGCCTCTCTCATCTTTGAAAAACCCTGGATACCGAATTTAGGGTCCCCTCTCTTTTTCCCTTCACAGCAATTCTTTCCAAAGAATGTCCTATTCATTACCTCCCCTTCCTCAACTCATCTTCCCTCTCTCTCCATTACCATGTAAATTATGTCTCCAAATGTAACCTATTTCAGTGAACAATTTGTCCCAGCCTAGAATTTGGGCAACATTCTAGACTATCCCTTTTCCTACCCCCAATCCAATGAATACCAAGTCCTACTGAATCTACCTCCTAATTATTTCTGGAATTCCTCCATCTTCTAAACCACAATTCTGGCAAGTCTCTTACCTATATAAAACCCTTCAATGGTTTCCCACTCATCTAAGGAAATTTTTATAATATCTTTCAAGACTCTTTCCATGTGCTTGCCCCTCACTGCCTGCCACACTGAAATTCTTCCAGATTATTGATACTCCCTACCATGCATGTTCTTACTTTTGGGCTCTCAGAAATACTGCTCCCCTGCGTGAACATTCTTCCTTCCTCTCCTGTCTATCTTTGCCTACTTATCCTTCAGCTTTCAGCTCAAATGCCACTTGCTCAGGACAGCCTTCTCTGGACAGTCCGTAGACCAGATCTTTGCACTGACTTAATTCCCTATTAACACCTTTATCATGGGACACCTGGGTGGCTCAGTTGGTTAAGTGTCTAACTCACAGTTTGTGAGTTCAAGCCCCGCATTGGGCTCTGTGCTGACAGCTCAGAGACCGGAGCCTGCTTTGGATTCCGTGTCTCCCTTTCTCTCTGCCCCTTCCCTGCTCGTGCTCGCTCTCTCTCTCTCTCTCTCTCTCTCTCTCTCTCTCTCAAAATAAATAAATAAATAAATAAATAAATAAATAAAATTAAAAAATTAATTAATTAAAATAAAAAAACATTTATCACAAAACTTTTATTGCAATTGCCTACAATTACCTCTATTTTCTAGTCCAGGTATCAATAAACTAAGAACTAGCTGCTTGTTTGAGTAAATAAAGTTTTAATAGAATACAGGCATATCCATTTGTTTCCATGCTGTCTATGGCTACTTTTGTACCCCAATGGCAGAGTTCAGTAGTTGCCACAGAGACCATATGAACCACACCTATCACATTTACTGACTGCCTCTCTAAAGGTAAGTTTGCTGACCCCTCTCTATCTATACCACTGCTAGTCCCCAAAGAGCAACCCAGTACCTGGGAGCTTGTTAGAAATGCAAGATCTTGGGTCTCACACAAACTCAGAATCTGCATGTCAGTCATGTCACCAGTAATCCTTACACACATTATAGTTTGAGAAAGTTCTGCTTTACACTATGAGCTCTGTGAAAACAAGAACCTTGCCCATTTTGCTCACTACTGTTATCTCCAGTGCCTAACACCCCTAGCTGACACTCAATAAAGATCTGGGACTAGACTCCAGGTCTATAGATTCCTTTTCTAGTACTTTTTGTCCCACAACATGTTTTTTAATTATGTTTGAAGAACCATATAAAAGAACCAATTCTGCTCAAAGTCTTTAACATTCCCTCTTTAAGTGAACCTTTTAAAATGTCTATTAACATTAAGATAAATGAAATTAAAAATGCACTTGATTTATACATAAGTATGGTTAGAAATTATTTTTTTTAAGACTTAAAAGAGAAATTCCTTGGGGTGCCTGGGTGGCTCAGTCGGTTGAATGTCCGACTTTGGCTCAGGTCATGATCTCATGGTTCATGAGTTCAAGTCCACGTCAGGATCTGTGCTGACAGCTTGGAGCCTGGAGCCTGTTTCAGATTCTGTGTCTCCCTCTCTCTGCCCCTCCCCCACTCGTGCTCTGTGTCTCTCTCTCTCTCAAAAATAAACAAACATTTAAAAAAAGAGAGAAATTCCTTTGTTCAACTTAAAACGAATCTTTATTAATACATACCATCTGAACATAATGCTGGTAACTGGTAGCATAAGCTCTTTCCACCTCCTGTAGGCATAACAAGAAATACCTCCTTTCCAGACATTGTTACATTAATAGTTTCAAGCTGAAGCAGTCTGAACCTCTGCAGTTTAAAGACATTTTGCAGAACCTCTTTAACTTTACCAGACCAGGGAAAATCTAGACAAAAAATAATAATAAAACAATAATAATAATAATAAGCCAAATATATTAGAATTATTTAGGATTATAAATGCAATACAAACGTAAGTGGCAGCTTTTATATTAGAGAAAAGCAGTTAAGAATTTATGTAAGTTTTAATATTACTGACAATTTAACCTTTATACTGACAATTTTGAGATTAGTTTAACTCCGAAGCTTAGGCAAAAAGATTTAATGATATATAGTAAGAAACAATCCATCAGAAAAAATGAAAACATTTGCCAGTTGAGAATTAACCTACATAGAAGAGGAAGGTCCTTGACCAGGCATTGAAAACCAGTCTGATTGTTGATCAAGGAATTCATAGTATCATAAAAATCTCAAATACCGTCAAGTTAACAATTATGCGGAGTTTTTTATGTAAATATCTTGTTTAGAAGCAAATCCCCTGAAAAGCAAGGGCTACAAAAGCACTGTTACGAACTCCAGTATAAGTGATAGTTCATGATAAACATGAGACTTGGCAAGATCTTGAATCAAGGAAGGTGTTCACTAGGGCAGGAAAATGAACTAGACTTTGGCAAGTTTGAATTTTTTTTTAATTGTTTAACTTTTTTCTAATTAAAACTTAGAAAATTTAGTAAAAAATCTTCTTTTTCCAAGCATTGACTGATGCTGCTAGAACCATATTTGGAGGGGCGCCTGAATGGGTCAGTCAGTTAAGCGTCCAATTTTGGCTCGGGTCATGATCTCATGGTTCGTGGGTTCAAGCCCTGCGTCAGGGCTCTGTGCTGACAGCTCAAAGCCTGGAGCCTGCTTCGGATTCTGTGTCTCCTCCTCTCTCTGTACCCCTCCCCTGCTCATGCTCTGTCTCTCTCTCTCTCTCTCTCTCTCTCTCAAAAATAAACATTAAAAAATTTTTTTAAAAAAGAACCACATTTGGAAAAAATAATGAAGTGTGAATAATAAAAGCTTCATTCAAAAAGAACATGGGCAAAGAATGGTTTGCCTACTGGTTTCCCATGCACTTAAGGAACAGCCAGTTTCCCTTCCAAGTGCCTAGAAAGCACTGATCCAGGAACAATGATTTAACTCCTGTGTAAAGAAACAAGCAGAAACAAGACTAACAAAAACAGAGCAAACCTTCTTTATTCCAAGCAGCAGGTGAAGAATCCCATTCACTGCTTTCTCCAGCATCAGAATCCTCAAAATGCTGCTTTATTTGGTTTGTTAGGATGTTCTTTTTCTGAATAAGCTCTTGTTGCTTTTCCAGAAGTTCCTGAATTTGAATGTCTACTGCATGTAGCTCATTGGTTACAGACTCCAATTCTTCAGTTAGAGCTATGAGGAAGGAAAAAAAGATGCAATAATTAATTAGTTTTAGGTATCTCTGTTGATTTTTGGCTATTCCTCACCATCAGAATTACAGACAAACTTACAGTAGTAGAGTAAGGTGGTTAAGAGCATGTGTGCTAGAGTCACATAGACCTAAATTTTAGGTCCTCCTCTTAGCTCAGGCTAAGCACTAAACCAAGCCTCAATTTCCCCATCTGTACAAGGGGACAATATCTAGCTTTCATAGTATTAAAGAATTAAGTGAGATAATATATGGAAAGTTTTAACATAGTAACTGGCACATAGTTATACATTTAATAAATGATCATTATTATATTTACTGTGTTGTAGGGCAATGGTCCAACAGTCTCCTAAGTCATTTAAGTGACCAAACTTTGAAACAAAAGGAAGCTTTTTTTTTGCTAATTTGAATCCAAGGTAGTTAACATATAATGCAATAATGGTTTCAAGAGTAGAATTTAGTGATTCATCACTTACATATAACACCCAGTGCTCATCACAACAAGTGCTCTCTTTAATGCCCATCACTCATTCAGCTCATTGCCCCACCCACCTCCCCTCCAGTAACCCTCAGTTTATTCTGTGTATTTGAAAGTCTCTTATGATTTGCCTTCCTCTCTGTTTTTATCTTATTTTTCCTTCCCTTCCCCTATGTTCATCTGCTTGTTTCTTAAACACCACACATGAATGAAATCTTAATTTGTCTTTCTCTGACTTACTTCGCTTAGCATAATACACTCTAATTACATCCATGTTGTTGCAAATGGCAAAATTTCATTCTTTTGATTGCCAAGTAATATTCCATTGTATACATATACCACACCTACCTTATCCATTCGTCAGTCGATGTACATTTGGGTTCTTTTCATAATTTGGCTATTGTTGATAGTGCTACTATAAATACTGGTGTGCTGTGCTTCTTCAAATCAGCATTTTTGTATCCTTTGGATAAATACCTAGTAGCGCAATTGCTGGGTCATAGGGTAGCTCTATCTTCAATTTTTTGAGGAACCTTCATATTGTTTTCCAAAGTGGCTAGACCAGTCTGCATTCCCATCAACAGTGCAAAAGGGTTCCCCTTTCTCCATATCCTCACCAACATCTGTCGTCTCCTGAGTTGTTAATTTTAGCCATTCTGACAGGTTATGAAGTAGTATCTCATTGTGGTTTTGATTTGTATTTCCCTGATGATGAGTGATATTCACCCCATAACTACTTAGCTATTATTTCATGAAAACATATTTGGGTTCATATGTTGGCAAGATAAGGCGTTGGTGATTATAAACAAGCTGATGTAACAATTAAAAGAAAAATTGAGTGTGCTACTGGAATTGACATTATAAGTCCATCATCACTAATTTATAAAGCAGACTTAATGTATGATTCTAATCAATCCGAGTATTAAAGTCAAAGTGAGATTCCTTTTGACACCATACCAATAGAAACCAAAAATTTTTAAAGATGTCCTTGATGCTCTCTAAAACATCAGCCTGCTTTAATCAGTGTCCAGCTTTAATGCCCCAAATTTTCATAAGATGAAATCTCATGGCTATGATTTAAAATAGGATGTTATGGTGTTTTTGTATTATGCCAATACCAGAATTGCTTTCCCTGCATGATTCTGGTTAGGATTGGTCACAAGTGAACTCTGCTTCAGACCTGGAAGGTAAAAATGAAACAGCAGTCAGGTTTACATTCAGATGGTTGGCATAATGTCAGGTGCTGCTGGGGCTCATTCACATTGTCATGGATCTGCTGCTTCACCTTCCTGGCATAAAGCAGAACCCAGTTCCACCAGCTCCTACTGAACCTCTTTGGGGCAGTAGCTTGGCCCACAGCTTCTTCAGCTTCCCTGAATCCCTGGCCATGTTCTTGTGCAATTTTCTATGGCAAGTGTACTAGCTCTTCTGCAGGGCACCAGCATCTGGAGTCAGAGCCTTGGAGGCGGTTACACAACCAACACAAGTCCAAGTGAAAGTCCTCCTGGGTTTGAGCTCATCTTTACCCTCCCACACTCCATCTCCATCTTCCCGTTCCTACTGCTGGCACTGCTGACTTCAGGACTAGCAATGGACTGCTTAACCAGGCCCCATGATCATACAGGAACTGATCCCTACAATAAATCCCTTAAATCACTCATGATTCAGCTTCTCTGAGTGAACCCTAACCAATACCAAATGTTCCAGAGGAAAAGAAACTTAAAAGCAGGTTCTCTAAATTGCTTCTATGCCACCTAGAATAGTCTCTGATCTGATTAGATTTAAAGGCATTAATGACCCTTGCCTGCAGTTCAATTGGTATTCCATGGCATGTAGTAGACAAAGTTACTTAGATTACAATCTAGACACCAGTAATTAAGTATCTAGAGAGGGAAAGGCTCTGGGTGACCAAGTGTTTGCTGTCACAGAATATTTCTGTTGAGAATAACGCGGTTGATTGGCCCCTCCTAAATATGCTGAAAAACCTGAGAGAAATGTAGGATCTGTATAAAGGAACCTCAAAGTCTCTATGATTGTCCCAGAAGAACCCCTTATCTCCTATAGGTACTGGGCCAAGACTACCGAATGTCAAAAGCCAATACAGGCTGAAAGTTAGACCTCTTGAGTCAGTTAGCTGAGTTGTGAATGGAAGGGAAAAGTTCTGGAAGGAAATTAAAAGTACTATTCCAGTAAACGTATGAAACGTAAGAAAGGAAAACAGCCTTAATGCTGATATGAAGAGAGGTTTAGTAATCCGAACAGAAGATCACACCAGCCACAACATTCCCCTAAGCCAAAGCCTAATCCAGAGCAAGGCCCTGACTCTCTTCACTTCTAGGAAGGCTGAGTGCTCACTTTGGCACCACATTTACTAAAATTCTACGAAAGCTCAGAAAGGTGAGGAAGGTGAAGAAAAGTTTGAAGCTAGTCGAGGTTGGTTTGCTAGGTTTAATCTCCACAACATAAAAGTGTTAAGCAGCAAGTGTTGATGTAGAAACACCAAGTTATCCAGAAGATTTAGCTAAAATAGTTAATTAAGGTGGCCACAAGAAACAACAGATTTTTATTGTAGCCTTCTACTGGAAGATGCCATGTAAGACTTTCATAGAGAGGAGAAGTCAATGCCTGGCTACAAAGCTTCTAAGAACAGACTGACTCTCTTGGTAGGATCTAAAGCAGCTGGTGACTTTAAGTTGAAGCCAATGCTCATTTATAATTCCAAAAATCATAGGGGCAAGAAGAATTATGCTAAATCTATTCTGCCTGTGTTCTATAAGCCTGAATCTATAATTATGCACATCTGTTTATAACGTGGGTTATATTTGAGCTCTATTTGAGCCCTAGGGCTCAGAAAAAAGATTTCTTTCATTGACAATGCACTGGTCACCCAAGAGCTCTGATGAAGATGTTTAAAGAGATTCATCTTGTTTTCATGCCTGATAACACAACATCCATCTGTAATTCATGGGTCATTTACTTTCAAGTCTTATTATTTATAAAATACATTTCATAAGGCTATAGCTGCCACAGATAGGGATTGCTCTGATGGGTTTGGGTAAAATCAATTGAAAACCTCTGGAAAGGATTCATCACTCTAGATGCCATTCAGAAAATTCATGATCCATAGGAAGGTGTCAAAATATCAACATTAATAGGAATTTGGAAGTTGATTCCAACCCTCATGGATGACTTAGAGGGCTCAAGATTTCAGTGGAGTAAGTCACTGCAGATGAGGTGGGAATAGCAAGAGAACTAGAATTAGAAGTGGAGCCTGGGACACCTAGGTGGCTCAGTGGGTTAAGCGTCCATCTCTTGGTTTCGGCTCAGGTCACAATCTCACGGTTCATGAGTTCAAGTGCTGCATTGGCTCTGTGTTGACAGTGTGGAGCCTGCTTGGGATTCTCTCTCTCTCTGTCCCTCCCCTGCTCATTCTTTCTCTCTCTCAAAATAAATAAATAAACTTAAAAAAAAAAAAAGTGGAGCCTGAAGATGTGACTGAATTGCTGCCATCTCATGATAAAACTTTAACAGAAGTTAAATGAACAAAGAAAGTGGTTTCTTGAGATGGAATCTACTCCCAGTGAAGATGCTGTGAAGATGGTTGAAAGGACAACCAAGGATTTAGAATATTACATAAACTTAGTTGATAGAGCAGTGACAAGTTTTGAGAGGACTGACTCCAATTCTGAAAGATGTTCTACTGTGGGTGAAATGCTATCATACATACAGAGAAATCATTCGTGAAAGGAAGAATCTATTAATGCAGCAAACTTAAGTGTTGTCTTATTTAAGAAATTGCCACAGCCACCCCACCCTTCAAAACCACCACCCTGATCAGTCAGAAGCCATCAACATTACAGCAAGACCCTCTACCAGCAAAAACATTACACTCACTGAAAGCTCAGATGATAGCTAGGATTTTTCAGCAATCAAGTATCTCTAATTAGGTATGAACATCATTGTTTGACGTTCTATTGCACACTTAATAGAGAACAGTATAAACATAATGTTTATATGCACTGGACAACTAAAAAGTTCATTTGACTAGCTTTATTGTGATATTGACTTATTATTGCAGTGGTTGGAAACAAATCTGAAGATCTCTGAGGTATGCCTGTATCACCAGAGATATGGTGGGAATATGTGAGGGAACAGATCCCAATGGTACTAAATCAGAGTGAATAGAATATTAAATGAACCTAAATTCACTGATACAGACTCAATATGAAATTATGGTTTAGTGCAGTAGTACAGTGGCCAGGAGTGGCTCTAATAATTTACTTCGTTGGTTGCCAGAAACCTGGCTCCAAAGATGAATTATTAGAAAGTTGAGATAGTGGGGCGCCTGGGTGGCGCAGTCGGTCAAGCGTCCGACTTCAGCCAGGTCACGATCTCGCGGTCCGGGAGTTCGAGCCCCACGTCGGGCTCTGGGCTGATGGCTCAGAGCCTGGAGCCTGTTTCCGATTCTGTGTCTCCCTCTCTCTCTGCCCCTCCCCCATTCATGCTCTGTCTCTCTCTGTCCCAAAAATAAATAAACGTTGAAAAAAAAAATTAAAAAAAAAAAAAAGGAAAGTTGAGATAGAATGACACAGGTGTAGATCTCAATGATACTGAAGGGCTAGAACTTTCTGGGTATACACTAAAGGAGGTGATCCAGAGGCTTCAGGACAGGAGAATGCTACCCAGCTTCCCTGAAGAGCTCACAGTGACTGGTCTCTGTAAGCTAGGAATGACAGCGAGGGAAGTACTGCCTTTGAAGCAGATCAACAGAATCAATGAGAATAATGGATTTTCCAAGGTATGAGGGCTAATTCAGTTCACAACCAAAGAAAAGATATATGTGGTTGCTATAACAGGCAACAGAGCAGAAACAGTAATCAGAATAGTCTGATCCGCAGAGAACTCTGGCATTGGCTAGTTGATCATGATGTCCTTGAAACGGTTTACTTGATTTGAATATGCAGAATGCAAAGCCCTGATTCTGGTAAACTAAGTTTGACTTGAATCACTATAGAGTCAGAGTCTTTCAACCAGCTCCCAGAAAAGAACCAATTTATAGACCCAGAGTCCCCTGAATAGAGATTGGGACCCTGTGAGAAAAGACACAACTAAAAATTTATATAGTAAATCTTCTCACTAGTGTTCTCCAAAGAAACGTATCAGGGTAATTATGTATTGGGGAAAGGAAAATAGCTTCTCATAAATTACTAGACACTAACTCTGAATGGACAGTTCCTGGAAGATAAATGCCATGGTGATCCACCAGTCAAAACAGGGACTGGACTTATGCAAATCACGTGATCAATGCAGTTTTGCTCATGTCCATCATACAGTGGGCTCAGGAGATCCTCTAACCCATTCTATGCTTTTCTCTCCAGTTCTAGATCATATTATCAGAATAGATACATTCAGCAATGGGCCAAATACATATATCAGTCCCCTCTTAGGAAAGACTAAGTGGAAGCCAGTATAACTGCCCTTACCTACCAAAACAATGAATAATGCTGTTTGTCCTATAGATCGGATTCTTGAGCCTAGGGATCAGGGTGGAAATGAGAGTGGCTCTTCTTACTATTACCACTTACTAGTGATCCACTAATAAAATGTTTGCTTCCCATCCCTGAAACTTTGAACCTTACTGGTTTAGAGGTCTTATCAGGAAGGAATGCTTCTACCAGGGGAAAATGCAGTGGTTCCATTTAAACAGAAGTTGGTGGGATTGCAAACTGGTGTAGCCATTCTGGAGAATAGTATGGAGGCTCCTCAAGAACTACCCTATAACCCAGAAATTGCATTACTAGGTATTTACCCAAAGGACACAAAAATACTGATTCAAAGGGGTACATGCACCCTGATGTTTACAGCAGCATTATCAACAATAGTCAAACTGTGGAGACAGCCCAAATGTCCATCAACAACTGATGAATGGATAAAAAAGATGTGGTATATATACACAATGGAATATTACTCAGCCATCAAAAAATGAAATCTTGCCATTTACAACGACATTGATGGAGCCAGAGTGTATTACGCTAAGTGAAATCAGTCAGTCAGAGGAAGATAAATACTGTATGATCTCACTCATATGTGGAATTTAAGAAACAGATGAACATATGGGAAGAGACAAAGGAAAAAGAGAGAGAAACAAACCGTAAGAGACTTTTTAATGTTTATTTTTGAAAGAGAGAAACAGAGTGTGAGCAGGGGAGTGGCAGAGAGAGGGAGACACAGAATCCAAAGCAGGCTCCAGGCTCTGAGCTGTCAGCAAGGAGACCAGTGTGGAGCTCAAACTCACGAACCATGAGATCATGACTTGAGCCAAAGTCAGATGCTTACCCCACTGAGCCACCCAGGCACCCCCATAAGAGAATCTTAACGATAGAGAACAAAAAGGGTTGATGGAGGGAGGTGGGCAGGGAGTGGGCTAAATGGGTGATGGGTATTAAGAGCACTTGTTGTGATGAACACTGGGTATTACATGTGATGAATTACTGAATTCTACTCCAGAAACCAATATTGCACTGTATGTTCACTAAAACTAAAATTT